GATCACAATTTATTATTTTCAAATAAATATCTTACTTTCCTACAATGATGTGCGCAAATTGGGTGATGACTAAATTCGTAGGCATCAGCCGAAAGGAGACGGGAGTTTTTCCCATTGTCCTGGCTAACATTCTTCCAGATGAAAAAAACACAATTGTTCACTTAATGGCTGTTTGTGGGACGCTGGTTAGCACAAATTTCCTGCCACGTTCACCTACAAATACACAACAACAAGTTGCATTTAAAGAGCAGCCTTCACGTGGGTAGCATCTTGGAGGTGCTTAGATGTCACAGTTACTCAGACAGTAAATACACAGTCACTGCTGTGAAGTGTTTTGATGTGAATAAGGGGCTATATCAAATGCAAGATTTATTAATATTAATGCCAGGAGAATAATCCTGAGCAAAGTGGAGGGGCGAACCACAACCTTCACATCATAAACAATGAATTAAACATAGACTCGTCCAAGGCAGTGATCATTTTAATAAGAATCATCCCATCTATTGTAGCATTAGATTGCAGCAATGAAACAGATGATTGTGCGTGTATCCTAATCATGGAACGGAGACGAATGCCTCAAAATATGCCAACTGTCAGCAGGTTCTGCTAAGGTGGCTTAAACATATTGCAAAGTAACCCTTTTTCCAATTAATTGAGCATTTTCTGCAATCCCATTTACTGAAGTGACAGATACCAAGAAGGTATTCTTCAATTCACACTCCTCTGTCGCAGAGGGAACAACAGGTTTCCCTGCTGACTCCAGTTCCAATGCAGCTGAATTGGAGGAATCGGCTATAAACAATGATTAGACAAGCTAGGATTCTGCAGTCTTGAGAGAAGATGACTCAGAGGGGATCTTATGGAGATGTGTAACATTTTCAATGAAATTGAGAAAATAAACCCAGAACAATTATTTGGTATGCACCAAGACAGGAGGACACACATTTAGAGTTGCAAAGGGGGCAAATTCAAGCCAGACACCAAAATAATAGAACTCACTTTCTATTGTGCATGCACTGTTATCGCAATACTTCCATTCAAGTTGAACATAATCTGTACTGCACTTATCTATCCTAAATTTGGAAAACCTTAAACAAACTCTGTACTTTGTACACAATATATACTGGCGTGAAGTGTCAAACTGGACTTGCAGAAAAAGGTTGTCTTTGAAACTCCGTGTTGACAATTCAAAGGTAGGATTTGATTAATAACATTGCATTGAAAAGACCTTGTGGATTACAGCGATAACCTTCAGACAGACAGCAATTTGCAACAATAGCTTCTTATTTGTTAACCAGTTTGAATTAGCTAAAGCCCTTTATCAGACCGGTAGTTATTATCTTTCTTTGGTTGAAACCATATCATTTCAGAAACAACACCGGGACCACTGTAGGGTGGGTGTTCTAGAAAGTCAAAATCAAATGGGCCAAAAGGGCTTTCTTCATTCAAACCAATCTTGTGAAATGAAGCCCAGTTTGTCAGACAAATGCCTTCTCCTGACAGAGTTGAACTAATAATAATAATTCTTACATTTGACGTAGTGCCTTAACAATTTTTTAAATTGTATGTGTGAAGGGATTATTACCCCCGTAAAGCGATCCACCAATCGACTAACAACAGAAGCGTGTGGAGTACGTAAACTTACCTAACTGTTTCGCCCTGCCTGGGAATCAAACCCAGGTCCTCTTGCTTGCTAGGTGAGTGCTCTAACCAATACGTTACAGGACTTCATTCTTTCATTGGACCAGAGGGATAATTAACACAAGATACCTGGCTGCTTGAAATAATAATAAGAATAATCCTTGCATTTAATATAATGCTTTTCACATCTTCTAGACCTCTCAAAGCGCTTCACAGAATATACTGTAAAATGAATTGACTGTACATTTGTGGGCGAAACCTGGCAGCCAATTGCGCACAGCAGTGTCCCACAAACAGTCGTGGATTGAGTGACCAATTTATTATTTTTTTTCTTGAGGGGTTATTATCAGGCGTGTGGAGTAAGGAAACTTGCCCAAGGTTTCACGCTGCCGGGAATCGAACCCGGGGTCTCTTGCTTACGAGACAAGTGCTCTAACCACTTAGCTACAGAACTCCAAATGACTCTGAGCTCCACCCACTCCATCTCCCCCCACATCCTGATCGACCCCAGAGTACTGAGTCGGGTCAAGTTACGGGACAGTGTTGGTGCTTGTTCTCAACATGATGCAGATTGTTTTCAACAACACAAGATGGCATATCTCCTGTGCTCTGGTGAGCCAGGCGAGTTAGCGAGGACCTGCATGCACACAATGACACAGCAACACTTGAAGGAAGAGCACAGGGAAGAAAAGTGCAGATGGAAGGTAACAGAGAACCAGCTGGTGAGTGATAACTGTAGTTAAAGGCTCAACAGCAAAGATCCAGGTCAACGATACATTTATTAGTTCATTAAAGTTGAGATTAGCTCTGTGCCTATAGCCTGGGGATTTCTGTTATTCCATTAATGCACTGCATAAAATCCTTTTGGGGAGAATTTATTGTCCCTTGCCTTTAATCTAAGCACAGGCTTGAGGGACTTTAACATACCCAAAGGTGAAAGTTCGATTGCAAATTTTGATGTAAATTAGCCTCATATTGAATTACTGGTTGAACAATGTTTTGTTTATTTTAGGGATAAGGGAAGAGAGGGGAACCTCCTTATGGATCCATGAGCTTTGCAGGTACAGCGTCATTTCACCAGGGAGAAAGAAACAGTCAGGACGAACCTGTGTTATTATATCACCTAAAATGGTGAAATGTCTCAAAGCGCTCGTAGAAATGGTTGTGGTTGTGTGGTGACTTTTTGTAGCCAAACTCAGTCGGTATTTTGCGCAGAGCAAACACCCCTAAAAACAAGCATGAAGCGAACAGTTAATTGATCTGGAAGATTTGTTTTTGTCCAGACCACCGGGAGAAATTCCCTTCCTTTTTCAAATAGAGTCACGGGATTGTTAATTCCCAGCTGATTCCCAGCTAATTCATGGTTTTAGCGCCTCATCCAACAACAACAACAACAGCTTGCATTTACACAGCAGCCCTGTGGGGGGGGGGGGAGGGGGGGGGAGGGAGGGTGGAGGGAGGTGAGCGTAAGCACGATCGAAGAGGAGGGTCTTCAGACACAACCTGAAGATAGGTAAGGAAGGGTTATGGGTCCATATCCGACAATGTGCAATTTACATTTGGTACAGCGCCTGATCACTTCTCGAAGACGTCTCGAAGCGCTTCACGGGTCACACTGTAAAGCGAAGTGACTGCATATTTTGTGGGCGAAACGCGGCAGCCAATTGCGCACAGCGGCGTCCCAGCTGATAAGGCGCTTTGAGACGTCTCAACGACTTGAGAAGGCGCGACATCAAATGCAAGGATTGTTTATGATTGTAACTGAAATTCGCCGCGGGTTGGGGGGGGAAGGGGAGACTTTTTTTAAACTAAATAAATTTTAATTAAACAATTTGTGCATTAATGAACCTGATGCAAACGAAAATCACAGCGAACACCTGGACTCTTCCCCCCCCCCCAAAAAAAAGACAATACCCCATTTTAAGGGTCTCTTTAACCTCACACGGTTATGCCGGTGACAGCTACCACTGCACTCGCGGTTTAACCCGCCGTTTTGTTGACGATCAGCAATATTTTTTTATCGGGGAGCGGGCGCGGGCGCGGGCGGGGGGGGGGGGGGGGGGAGAATATTACTTTTACGTGGAAAAATACCCTTTCGAAATCATGCACAGGTATGGATAGATATTTATAATAATGGCACGTGGAGAGAGAGAGAGCGACACAAAGAGAAAAGACCGCATCTCTCACTCTTTTAACATCATGCAAAATGAGAAGCCCTTTGTGTCCAGAAACACAAGACAAGAGAAAAATGTACATTTCGCACTGGGTACATTTCTCACCCCCTCCCCTATCCCCTCCCTCCCCCCCCAAACCCTCCCTCTCTCTCATACAAAGAGAGAGAGAGAGAGAGAGAGGGAAGGGTTTGCTGAGTTACAGTGATAATCACACAAAACATTTAACTGAGCATCAGTGCCCATCACATGGAGGAAACTGATGACAATTGCAGTATTTTTCTGCCCCCTCCTCCACTCCAACCCCACCCCCTCCTCCTCCTCCACTCCAACCCCACCCCCTCCTCCTCCTCCACTCCAACCCCACCCCCTCCTCCTCCTCCACTCCAACCCCATCCCCTCCTCCTCCACTCCAACCCCACCCCCCTCCTCCTCCACTCCAACCCCACCCCCCTCCTCCTCCTCCTCCACTCCAAACCCATCCCCTCCTCCTCCACTCCAACCCCACCCCCTCCACTCCAACCCCACACCCCCTCCTCCTCCACTCCAACCCCCTCCTCCTCCACTCCAACCCCCTCCTCCTCCACTCCAACCCCACCCCCTCCTCCTCCTCCACTCCAACCCCACCCCCTCCTCCTCCTCCACTCCAACCCCCTCCTCCTCCACTCCAACCCCACCCCCCTCCTCCTCCTCCTCCTCCACTCCAACCCCACTCCCCTCCTCCTCCTCCTCCTCCACTCCAACCCCACCCCCCCTCCTCCTCCTCCTCCACTCCAACCCCACCCCCTCCTGCTCCACTCCACCCCCTCCTCCTCCACTCCAACCCCATCCCCTCCTCCTCTCTGCCTCCACCCCTCCCTCCTTCCCTCCTTCCTTCCCTCTCTCTCTCTCTCTGCAGTTAATGAAGGCTTTTTGTTGCCTTTCCCTGGGAGACCTGCGTTGTGGTGTGTGTGTGTGGGGGGGAGTGTGTGGGGGGGGAGTGTGTGTGGGGGGGGGGGGGTGTGTGTGGGGGGGAGTGTGTGGGGGGGAGTGTGTGTGGGGGGGGGGGGTCAGGGCTGGGAAAGCAAACCACAGCGATCCTGATTGGATCGAGGCAGGAGAGGGGGAGAGAGAGAGAGAGAGAGAGATCAGTACCAGAGTGAGTGAGAGAGAGAGAGAGAGTGTTGGGACGAGTCGAGCAGAAAGGCAGAGAGAGAGGGAGAGGGAGAGGGAGCGCTCGGGGCAGAGCCACAGCCACAGCCGAGCAATACGCTCTCACTGACTGAACCAGAACACAGACAGAGAGAGAGAGAGAGAGAGACAGAGAGAGACAGAGACAGAGCCGCAGAGGACACAGACAGACACACAGACAGACACAGACTGTCATTTGTAACGGTGGCTTTTGGCCGTTCACAACGCGTTCCCGATGGTCACCGCTCGCGTTGGGAACCTGACGACCTCCTGACGCCACAGGTACTGCAATCTCTCTTTATAAAATGTGTGGATTCAGTGGCTGAGGGGTGGGGGGGGTATGGGGGTGTGTGTGGGGGATGAGGGTGTGGGGGGTGTGTGTGTGGGGGGTGTGTGGGGGTGGGGGGTGTGTGGGGGTGGTGGGTGTGGGGGGTGGGGTGTGTGGGGTGGGGTGTGTGTGGGGTGTGTGTGTGGGGGTATGTGGGGGTGGTGTGTGGGGGGGGTGTGTGGGGGTGGTGGGGTGTGTGGGGGGTGGGGGTGTGGTGGGGGGGGGTGTGTGGGGGTGGGTGTGTGTAGGGGGTGGGGTGGTGGTGTGGGGTGTGTGTGTGGGGTGGGGTGTGTGTGGGGTGGGGGTGTGTGGGGTGGGGTGTGTGTAGGGGGTGGTGGGGTGTGTGTGGGGTGGGGGGTGTGTGTGGGGAGGTGTGTGTGGGTGGGTGTGTGTGGGGTGGGTGTGTGGGGGGTGTGTGTAGGGGTGGTGGGTGTGTGTGGGGGGGGTGTGTGTGGGGGGGTGTGTGTGGGGGGGGGTGTGTGTAGGGGGTGGTGGGGTGTGTGTGTGGGTGGTGTGTGTGGGGTGGGGTGTGTGTGTGGGGGGGGTGTGTAGGGGGTGGTGGGGTGTGTGGTGGGGGGTGTGGGGGTGGGGGGTGTGGGGTGGGGTGTGTGTGGGGGGTGTGTAGGGGTGGTGGGGTGTGTGTGGGGGTGTGGGGGTGGGGAGGGGTATGTGAGGGGGTGTGGGGGTGGGGAGGGGTATGTGAGGGGGTGTGGGGGTGGGGAGGGGTATGTGAGGGGGAGGGGGTGTATATGTATATATTATATATATATTTCTGTCTTATTTTTCGTTGCGTTGGTTGATGTTCTGGAGGGTTTATGCAGAGGCTCAGCGGGTACTGTCTCGATCGCTCCTCATACAGTCACAGACAGAGCTACACAGACACACACACACAGACAGAGCTACACACACAGACAGAGAGCGACAGACACACACACAGACAGAGAGCTACACACACAGACACACACAGACAGAGCTACACACACAGACACACACAGACAGAGCTACACACACAGACACACACAGACAGAGCAACACACACACACAGACAGTGCAACACACACAGACACACACACACAGACAGTGCAACACACACAGACAGACACACAGAGAGAGGGAGCTACAGATACAGACAGACAGAGCTCCAGACAGACAGAGAGGGAGCTACACACACACAGATAGACACCAGAGGGAGTTACACACAGACAGAGCTACACAGACAGACAGACAGACAGAGAGCTTCACACAGACACAGACAGACACAGAGAGCTACACACAGACAGAGACAGTCAGACAGACAGACAGAGCTACACACAGACAGAGCTACAGTGTGAGACCCTCTGATTTTGTGTCAAATTGAAGTGATAAACGATACATTGTCGCAAAAAATCCGCAAAACACAGATACATTGTCGCTGCGGGTGATGGGCGACCCCCCGGGGGGGGAGGGGAGGGGCACTGAGCTCAGTCACACCTCAGTTATTCTAAAATATATTGTTTAACCATCTGTGTACCCCCACACACACACCCCTACATACACCCACACACACCCCCACACACACACACACCCCTACATACACCCCACCACACACACACCCCCCCCCACACACACACACCCCTACATACACCCCCACCCACACACACACCCCTACATACACCCCCACCCACACACACACCCCTACATACACCCCCACCCACACACACACCCCTACATACATCCCCACCAGACACACACACCCCACCTGCACACATCCCCACATACATCCCCCCACCCACACACACCCCTACACACACCACCCCCCACCCACACGCCCCCACCACACACTCCCCACACACACACCCAACCCCCCCACCCCATACACACCCAAACCGCCCCCCTACACACCCAACCCCCCACCCCACATACACACCACCCACCCGCACACACCCCCACACACACACACCTCTACATACACCACCCCCACCCACACTCCCCCACACACACACACCCCACACACACATATCCAACCCCCCCACCCCATACACACCCAAACCGCCCCCCTACACACCCAACCCCCCCACCCCACATACACCCCACCCACACGCACACCAACTTTATAAAAAAAAAGGCCCCCACGAATGATCCCCTTTTTTTTGTGATGTTGGGTGTTTATATCCCATCGAGTTTAATTTTTTTTGTTGGGGTGAGATGGGGAGGGGGGGGGGGTAGAGAGGGTAACTTCGCCCATTGCTAACACGGAGCTCACCCCCCCCCCCACCACCCCCATCCCCGCGATGGGATGCAGAAGGTGACGGACAATGGACAATAAATATGTGTATTTTTTGGGCTGTATTATGCGTGTATGGAACTCCATCACCCCGCCTCGCCCCCTCTCTTGCCTCCTTCAAGACCTATCCTCCTCTTCGACTGTGCTTTCGATCTCCCTGCTCCCCCGCCCCACCCCCTCTGCCCTCCACCGATCCCGACCCCGACCCCCAGCTCGGGTCTGAAACACTGATTGTCCCGCACCTTGGGACGTCCTCCCGGCGTGAAAGGCGCAAATATACAAATATCATTTTGTTGTTGTGTGTACCTTTGCATTGTCTACGCATGTGCGTGTGTGTAGGCACCGTGTGTGTGTGTGTATGCACCGTCTGTGTGGGTGTGTGTATGCACCGTCTGTGTGTGTGTGTATGCACCGTCTGTGTGTGTGTGTATGCACTGTGTGTGTGTGTATGCACTGTGTGTGTGTGTATGCACCGTCTGTGTGTGTGTGTGTGTGTATGCACCGTCTGTGTGTGTATGCACCGTCTGTGTGTGTGTACGTATGCACCGTCTGTGTGTGTGTGTGTGTACGCATGCACCGTGTGTGTGTGTATGTACCGTGTGTGTGTATGCACCGTGTGTGCGCGCGTGCACCGGGTGTGTGTGCGCGCGTGCACGGGGTGTGTATGCACGTGTGTGTATATGCATAGTATGTGTGTGTGTATGGGCTGTGTGCGTGTGTATGGACTGTGTGCGCACAGTGTGCATGTGTGTGCACAGTATGTGTGTGTGCCCAGCATGTGTGCGCGTCTGTGGTCGATCGTGCGCCCTGTGCCAGGGAAACTGCACTACCTTTTGCTTACGAGCATTTTCTCTTTCCTCGGTTGCAGTCGCTGAGTAATTTGCACAAACCACAAGCGATCCGAAGCGCTTCGAGGCTTGGGCTGCAATGGCTTAGGTTCGTTGGAGGCGAACCAAGCTCTCTGAGCAAGGCAGACGCATTTCATTTCCCACCCCACCCCCCTCCTCTCTCTCTCTCTCTCTTACGAATCTCATTTTATATACTGTAGGTGCTACTCTTTTTCTTCCTCCTTTCTTTCAACCAGCAATGGGTGTGACTGACTCTGCGTGTGTGTGTGATGTTGCAATTCAGAGGTGCAGAGCAAGCATTGGTGCGCTGGTGTCTTGCCAAAGCCACGTACATAGTCGGGAAGCAATTACGAGACCTAACAAAGAATTCCCACCTATCGAACTATTCATTCAGGGCTGCTCCCTTCTCTCTCCCTCCCTCCCTCCCTCGCTCTCTCTCTCTCCCTCTCTCTATCTCTCTCCCTCTCTCTGTCTCCCTCCCTCTCTCTCTCTTGTGTACAAAGCGATCAAGAGAGAATGCCTCTCTCAAATATTTGGGGGTCAGCCGGCTGTCTGACACTTGCGGAAGCCCATCGCCGTGCTTAAGAGTACCCAAACCAAACTGAGAATTCCATGCATCGCAGGAGATAGGATCTTAAATCGCAGTGCCAGGTAAAAGTTGTGTGTGTGTGTGTGTGTGTGTGCATTGCTTGATTTTAATAATAATAATCCTTGCATTTGATATAGCGCTTTTTGACGTCTCAAAGCGCTTCACAGAATAGACTGTAAAGCGAATTGACTGTATATTTGTGGGCGAAACGCGGCAGCCAACTGCGCACAGCAGCGTCCCACAAACAGTCGTGGGTTGAGTGACCAAATTATTGTTGTTTTGTTATTGATCTATGCCCCCACCCCCCCCCCACCCCCCCCCCTCCACCTCTCTCTCCTGCTCTCCCCCACCCCCAAGTATTTATTCTGTATGCAGTTTTATAAAGAGCTTTAACGAGCAGCGTTTGATTCCTCTGGCGTGCTGCCTGCCTGCGTATTGTTGGTGAAAGTGACAGAAACAAAAGATTGCGTGAGTGAAATCCAGGGCGCGATATAATGCGAGATTTCTTAGCAACTTCACTTCATATTTACGAATGACTTTTTTCTTTCTGCCACGCCCCCCACGCGCACACATACAGAAAATACATCTATAATTTCAAAAGACACCCATGTGTCTTGTGTGTGAATGGCAATAAGCACTGGGCCATAAATGTAACAATGATATTATTTGTTATTGCAGCAATTATGGGATGAAGTCAGTCAGTCGGGTAGGGCACAGTTCACCAGGACGTACTGTCTAACCACCTTAACGTCATTCATATGGTTATCCATGTCAGATGTGTGTTGTAATCTAACCCTAACTCTAATTGGCTTTTTTTTAAAAAAAGTTTACATTTCTGTGTTTTCATTGAGAGAGATACAGAGAGGGGGTGGGGATGAGAAAGGAGAGATAAAATGAGGGGAAAGGAGGAGAAAAAGAGAAGAGAAGGGCGGGTGGGGAGAGAGAGAGAGAGAGAGAGAGAGAGAAGAGAATGGGGAGGAGAAAAAGAGAGGGGATGGAACAGTCTGTCAATTTCATTGTTGGGATATAGCACCCAAACGATTTAATGGTTGTTTTTACACAGTGCGTAAATTGTATCAAGTGTTTGGCAAAGAAAATTAAGGTGCGTCAAGTGCTATTTTTAGAGCGACCGTTAAGTGGTGCCCCTTTAAGGAAAAAAAACGGTTTGTCAACAAAACCAAATGTACACTTTTCTCAATGGAAATTTGCGCTGTGTGCTTTTTGGCCCCTTATCTTGTACTGATTGGCGTTACA